TGGCAATGGTATGGCTTTCGTGTGGCAACGGTATGGTTTTCTCATGGTAATGATACGGTTGTCTTACAGTAGCGGTGTGATTTTCTTCTGGCAAGGGTATGGCGGTCTTATGTAATTATGTGGCTTTCTGATGGTAATCGTATGGTTGTCGTATGCGGCGGCTCGGCCACCCAGAACGATACCGCCGACCCTGTCGGCGTGTGAGAGAAGTTTTTCCATATGAGTCGTCGTCGTCGTTGTCGCCGCCACCGCTCCACCCTGCCTCTGTCCGTGGGCTCTCCTGTTCCAGAGAAATCGGTCAATGTCGTAATCGACTCGAATTGAAACCCCTTTCCTTTGATCCCTTCCCCGAGCGATGGCTTTCGCCTACAAGAGGCCCACTCCTACGTCCTACCCCCTGGGCCTACCCCTCTGCCCTACCCCTAGGCCTGCACCTGCCTACCCCTGGGGCTTACGCCTAGGCCCATCCCTATCCTTACTCCTACCCCTAGGCCTATCCCCCACCGCAAGCCGATAGGCCCCGGATCCGGGCCCTTCCATCCGAATTGTAGCGCGCAGAGTAGACATGCAAAGCCGACATTCGTCGTATCCGCTTCTGTCGTCGACGTTGCCATCTGCGCGGCCGACGTGGGGCGGGGCGCACAGCACGCGTGGGAGACGGAGCTGTCGTCCTCGCCTCGGCGCCGCGCTTTGCGGTTCACGAGGCCTGCCGTCCCCTCTCGGGCGCGGCGCACACTCTCCGCGCGCGTTAGCGTCGTCGACGCGTCAGCGGGCGAGAAAACGTCGCTCTCGCTTTGCTGCGCCGCGCAGGCTTCGCCTGCACGTGGCGTTCCCGCCCCCACGCGGCGCGTTTTTTGCCACTCGCCCCTCTCTCGGGGGGGCCCCCGCGCGAGCGAGGGCGACGCGCCGCCCTCGCCCAAGAGTTCCGTGCGCAGGTGGCCCACAGATGTGACGTTCAGGCGCGAGCGCGGCACGCGGCTCGTCCGCTGGCAGGCGCAGGGCAGCCGTAGGGGGCAGCGGGGCCGCGCGCGGGCGGGCGAGGCGCGATTTTTCGCTTGAGCGCAGCGCGGACTGTGCGTGCAAGTGGTGCTGCCGCGTCGTCGCCGCGCCCATATGGGGCATTTGGCCGCTCCCGCCTCTGCGCGGCCCGCGCAGTTCTCTCGTCTCCGAGTCGTTGGAAGCGGGGCCGCGCGCGAGTTCCTTCCTTTTTGCGAGGTGTGAGCTCTTTCCGATCCCGAGATCAAGTTGTGCCCCATGTGATTCGTATGTAGTGGGAGGGAGGCTGGGAGTAGGCGGGGCCCTCGGACTCGTTCGACCTGGCTAACTTGACATTAGGCCTACCCTTCGGACCTACTCCTAGGCCTACCTCAAGCCTACCCTTAGGGCTTATTCCTAGCACTACCCTCGGCCTACCTTTGGGACCCTGGGGGCAGGTTCTCTTTGGCCACCCCGGCCTAGTCTTGGGCCCAGGGCAGGGCCTACAGCAGCCTACCCCTTTCTGTGGTCTGCATCCGACGACGGCAGCCGACGAAAGCGAGGAGCGCAAGACGGACGCCCCCGAGAGCCCTTCCCGCCCGCCACGCTCCAGAGCCGCCGTTCCGGGAGCACGTGCTGAGGACGACGGCGGGGTGACGACGACGACGTTGTAGCCTCGGAGGTGGGGAGACGGGGCAGAGAGGACGGGGGAGGTACGCTGCGGCAGACCTCCCCTTCAGCCTCGCAGCCTCCGCCCGGCAATTCGGCGAGCGTCAACGGTGGCTACCAGGAAGACACCAAGGGATGGGTACCATGGAGACGTTACGACCGTCTTCGGAGTCAGCTAGCACTTGAGGAGCGCGCGCGAAGCGCGCGCGATGGCTCTAGTATGTATGTGTGTATGCATGCTTGCATGCATGCATGCATGTTTATATGTATGCATGTATGCATGCCTGTATGCCTGTATGTCTGTATGTATATATGTATGTAATTATGTGTGTATGTGTGTATGCATTTAAGTAGGTAGGTCGGTAGGTAGGTAGGTAGGTCGATGGGTATGTATGTCTGATGTCTGTATGTATGCATGTGTACACATATACATTTATATATATATATGTATATATATTTATGTATACAAACTCCTTTCTGCTAGCCACCATCGAAGACCCGGCAGGTACAAAGGGCTCTCCCTTTTTTCCACCTCCTTATCCCCACGCTTTGTGTCTTTCTTATCTTCGTCGTCTTTCTCCTTCTCGTCCTCTTTACTGTTCTCCTCATTGTCCTCCGCGCGCTGTTCTCCTCTTTGCCTTTCTCCTCGTCATCCTCCCTGTCGTCCTCGTCCTCTTCCACCTTGGGTCTATTCGTCCTTCTCGTCGTCCTCGTCCTTCTCGAGAGTCTCTTGCTTCTCCTTCTTGTCTTACCCGTTCCCCCCCTCCTCGTTCACGCTGGCATCGGGAGGCTCCACAGGGAGATGGAGTGGCCGTCGATGGTGGACGCGAGCCGGGCGCAGTTCGGCGCCTACTGGGACAGTTCGCGAGGGGCTTGCTCCCCCAGGGTTTCTTTTTCATACATCTGGTAGCTTTTCCTTACTTCTGGCCCTCTGGGGCCCTGCTTCGCCCTCTGGGAATCAGTAATGGATCCCAGCGAGAAACAGTTTTCTGATTCGCGGGTCGAGAGCGCACCTCTTCCGGTCGAAGCTAAGCGGGCCGCGCGAAGCTTGAATTAACAAAGAGGGGGGGACCCGAGCGAGAAACAGGCCCCGGGGAACTGGTCGGGACTTTTGAGGCCGCGCCCTGAGCACAAAAACGCATCGTCGGCTGTCTGGGTCCTCGATCAGAGGAGGAAGAGGGACGGACACCGCCACACTCGGGGGTAGACAGAACCCCCAACAGTGACACGTCGATTAGTGAATTGGGCCTCAGGTCGTTTCCACTAAACCACGTTTTACTAGAGGGGGTCTGTCCATCCCCGATACACCCTTCCCTCGCCACCACGGCTGTGTTCGCCTTGAGATCCTGGTCAGACCGCCCTCCCGGAGAGGTCCAGTGAGTAGAGGTGGAGCGGTATCGGTAATTTCCAGAACCTGTCCATTGAAATGGTACCCTCCCCGCTCCCCCCCCCCGGGATCCCGAGTGTCATTAATTCGCCGACGAATCATTGTTCTTCTAGTGTCCCCCTGGGGCACATTATCGTGGCAAGGAACGCTTCATATATGTATACATGTTTTTTATTATTTAATGCTTTCATGTTTAACTGCTCACACACATATACATTAATATACTAGAACCACGCCCGCGCTTCGCGCGCGCAGGTTCAGGCATGCTCTAGTTGTAGTCTAACTTGTTCGGCATCGGATGACACACACACACATACATACACACATACATACATACATACATACATACACACATACATACATGCATGCATGCATGCATACATACATACACACATACATACATACCTACTTACTTACGTACGTACATACGTACGTACGTATGTACGTACGTACGTACGTCCATCCATCCATCCATCGATCCATCCATCCATACATACATACATAAACACATACATACATACATACATACAGACAGACAGACAGACATATAGACAGACGTAAAACATACATACACATACATACGCACATACATACATACATACATACATACACACATACACACATACACACATACATACCTACTTACTTACTTACGTACGTACATACGTACGTACGTACATCCATCCATCCATCCATCCATCCATACATACATACATACATACATACACACTCATACAAACATACATACATAAAAACAGACAGACAGACAGACAGACAGACAGACAGACAGACAGACAGACATAATACATACATACATACATACATCCATCCATCCATCCATCCATACATACATACATACATACATACACACATACATATATACCTACTTACTTACTTACGTACGTACATACGTACGTATGTACGTACTTACGTTGATCCATTCATCCATCCATCCATCCATCCATCCACCCATACATAAATACATACATACATACATACATGCATACATACATATATTCACACATACATACATACATACAGACAAACAGACAGACAGACAGACAGACACACTACATACATACATACATACATACATACATACATACATACACACATACATGCGTACATACCTACTTACTTACGTACGTACGTACATACGTACGTACGTACGTACGTGCATCCATCCATCCATCCATCCATCCATACATACATACATACATACACACATACATACATACAGGCAGACAGGCAGACAGACAGACAGTTAGACATACATAATACATGCATACATACACACATACATACATACCTACTTACTTACTTACGTACGTACATACGTACGTACGTACGTACGTACATACGTACGTACATCCAACCATCCATCCATCCATCCATCCATCCATACATACATACATACATACACACATACATACATACATACATCCATACATGCATACATACAGACAGACAGACAGACAGACAGACATACTACATACATACATACATACATACATACATACATACATACATACATACATACACACACATACACATACATACATACATACATAATAAGGGGGTTCCCCCTGTATTGATCTCCGTTCTGGTCAATATTCAAAAAGCGTTCGCCGCCGCACCGTCGGCTTTGCTTGGCTGGCGCGGCGTATCCATGTATCTACATCTATCCCCCCAGGCGCCGTCGCACCGATACGTCTGCGCATCTTCTGTCCGTCTATCTGCCCATCCCCCGGGCGCCGTCGCACCCTCGGCGCGGCTTGACTGGCGGGGGGCGTCTATCCATTGGTGGCGGCCCATTTCTTCCAGTTACCCAAACGGAGGGGAATGGAAATGCTGCTAAGACCTGCCAAGGTTTACATGGCCGCCTCTTGGGCCTCGAGAATGAATATTTACATTGGGGTTTGATCATTGAGTTTTCAACTTAACATGGCCTCCGATTGTCTAAAACCAATACAGGATGCATCGCGCGCGCGCGCGGGTGACCCGGCCCCGCGCGGGTCACCAGCGCGCCCGCGCTCGCCTCGCATATTGTATTGTGTTTTCTATATTTGACGTTGGCATGGCCGCCTCTTGGGCCCAGAGAATGAATATTTACATTGGGTTTTGATCATTGAGTTTTCAACTTAACATGGCCTCCGATTGTATAAAACCAATACAGGAGGCATCGCGCGCGCGTGCGGGTGACCCGGCACCGCGCGGGTCACCAGCGCGCCCGCGCGCCTCGCATATTGTATTGTGTTTTCTATATTTGACGTTGGCATGGCCGCCTCTTGGGCCCAGAGAATGAATATTTACATTGGGTTTTGATCATTGAGTTTTCAACTTAACATGGCCTCCGATTGTATAAAACCAATACAGGAGGCATCGCGCGCGCGCGCGGGTGACCCGGCACCGCGCGGGTCACCAGCGCGCCCGCGCGCTTCGCATATTGTATTGGTTTGTATATTTCCCACATTTATATGGCCGCCTCTTGGGCCCAGAGAATGAATTTTTACATTGGGTTTGGACAATTGAGTTTTCACCTTAACATGGCCTCCGATTGTATAAAACCAATACAGGATGCATCGCGCGCGCGCGCGGATGACCCGGCCCCGCGCGGGTCACCAGCGCGCCCGCGCTCGCCTCGCCCATTGTATTGTGTTTTCTATATTTGACGTGGGCATGGCCGCCTCTTGGGCCCAGAGAATGAATATTTACATTGGGTTTTGATCATTGAGTTTTCATATTAACATGGCCTCCGATTGTATAAAACCAATACAGGAGGCATCGCGCACGCGCGCGGGTGACCCGGCACCGCGCGGGTCACCAGCGCGCCCGCGCGCCTCGCATATTGTATTGTGTTTTCTATATTTGACGTTGGCATGGCCGCCTCTTGGGCCCAGAGAATGAATATTTACATTGGGTTTTGATCATTGAGTTTTCAACTTAACATGGCCTCCGATTGTATAAAACCAATACAGGAGGCATCGCGCGCGCGCGCGGGTGACCCGGCACCGCGCGGGTCACCAGCGCGCCCGCGCGCTTCGCATATTGTATTGGTTTGTATATTTTCCACATTTATATGGCCGCCTCTTGGGCCCAGAGAATGAATTTTTACATTGGGTTTCGACAATTGAGTTTTCACCTTAACATGGCCTCCGATGGAATAAAACCAATACAGGATGCATCGCGCGCGCGGGTGACCCGGCCCCGCGCGGGTCACCAGCGCGCGCGCGCCTCGCATATTGTATTGGTTGTATATATTCCACGCTTATGTGGCAGCCTCTTGGGCCCAGATAGTGAATATTTACATTGGGTTTTGACCATTGAGTTTTGAACTTAACATGGCCTCCGATGGTATAAAACAATTACACGATGCATCGGGAGCCCCGTGACCACGTGGAGCCGTCTTGGGGCGGTCTTGGAGCGTCTTGTACGCATGTTGGGAGCTATATTGAGTCATCGAGGGCTATCTTGAGCGATCTTGGAGGTCACCTTGAGCTCTCTTGGGCCCTCTTGGCGCCATCTTAGGCCATCTTCGGTGACCCAACGACCCGCGAAACGCCCCTTCCAGGCCCAGGGGGAGGGGGTAGGGGGAGGGGTAACCCCTCCCCCAAGGGGAAGAAGGGGGTTGAGGACAGAGAGGGCTCTTTAAACCACTCACGCCCAAAGGGCTGGTGGGATTTTTATATTGTGTTTTGGCCATTGCGTGCGCTGCAGAGATGTGTGTGCATGGTGAAGGCCACGTTGGCTTTTCTCGGGCCGACGTCTCCATGTTGCGACGACGTCTCAGGCGAAACGGCCCCAAGCGGCCCTGCAAAGGCACCAAGGGTGAAGCAGAATGGCTTCCCCATCCTTCCCACAGTCTATCTTAGGAGTTCTCCGGAAACAAACGAACTGTCTATCTGTCGCGGCCTCGCCGGTCGCTGTCGCACCGTCGGCGAACGTGCTTGATTACGTACTGTGCATCTGTCTGGCCACCCGCCGTCGCCGTCGCACCGAAAAAATTGCGCGCCACACATGGTTGAACTTCACTGTCCACGGCGCGCCCATCGCACATCGCACAACTTTTTACAAGAACTTCTCAATAGTTCCGTGCGGCGGACAGATCGTTTTTGCGCATCTGTCCCCGACGGACCCGTCGCCGCCGCATCGGGGTGATCATCATTGGGGGAACCCCCTCATCATACATACATACACATACATACATACATACATACCTACGTACGTACTTACTTACGTACATACGTACGTACGTACGTAGGTACATCCATCCATCCATCCATCCATACATACATACATACGCACATACATACATACATACAGACCGACATACCGACAGGCAGACAGACAGACATACATACAGACAGACAGACAGGCAGACAGACATCATACATACATACATACATACATACACACATACATACATACATACACACATACATACATACATACATACATACATACAAACA